AAGAGCGTCAGGACTTTGGAGCTTTGATTGCTGCTCCTGTTTCCTGACAGGGCATTTTTATTTCTCAAGTCTGTAGTTAAGGACGTGAAGCGGGCAGGTTGAACACGGTCCTTTCTTTCTAGCCATCGCATCTCTGCTCTAAAGCACTAAGGTGATACAGCATCATCATCTCTGAAACTTGTAAGAGCTTCTTAGCGTCTGTCTCCAGGTTTCTCCTTATGTGATATATTTTTATTTGACGATACTTGCTAAAAGATGTGCTTCTTGCCACAGTTTTCCATGGCAGACTGGTAGAAATGAGCCTGAAGGAGTGATTTAGTGTGGAAATCCTCAGTTCATGCAGTTAAAATTTGGCAAAGTTTTGAGCAGCTGAAAACAGGCCTCATAAAGCATTAGACGACCCTAACTATAGACACCGTTGTCAGACCTGCCTGTAGTTTTAAAACAATAACATTAATTTCTAAAAACACCAGGCAGAAACTTTGAATAAATGCTGAACTACAATCCTACAAGTTTCAGTGTCCTACAAGTTTCTTACTGGAAAGATGATCCAGTTGTCAGGACGTGTGAGCTTCTCTGCTTGGATCTGAGGGTCTCTCGCGGACTTCCTGTGTGCCGTTGGGCACGTCGCTTGGTGTTTGTGAAGTTTCACCTGGATACGTAGACAATGTGAGGTGGTCAAAAACAGTGGCTTAAAGGGTCAGAGAAGGAAGTTAAAGAGTTAACAATCTTAAGCAGTGATTTATGGTAGCGTTATCGAGAGCTGGAGATGAATTTGAGCAAATACTGTTTTTTCCTACCGTAAGAAGTGAATTCTGACTTGTCTGAATAGCTTCAGTGTCGAAGCAGCGTCCTTAGGGTCTGATGCCAAGGAGTGTTCTGACTTGACAGAAAATGTTCTTTATTTTATAAATAAAAGCCTTGTAGGGTTGTATTTACTACTAGACCTATTAAATTTTAGCAGCCTTCAGGGTTTTACTCGGCAATGGAAACTCCTTTATATAGACACATTTGCATAAAATGTGACTCTTTGAATTACAGCGTCTCTTCTGACACGACAACCTCAAGGTTTGTTTGAAGTATTAATTTGGTTGCGACTAAACAGATTTTCGTCTTTCTTGGCGTGAAAATTGTATAAATATAATTACCAAAGAAAGTCACTTGAATACATCGTTAAATACTTCCAAATGAGTAAGCAGATTGACCTCGATTTAGGGCGTCACAATAAAACCAAAAAGTAAAACAGCTTAGAAGCCTGTTAACATTATTGAAACAATTCAGCAGTGCAGAAATACCTTAGTCTTCTAATAGTTCCTCTGCAATTTCCTCTTCACCAGCATGACTTACACAGTTTGATTTCTGAATAAAGATGAAAAATGACTGTGAACACGCCAGCGCTTGTGTGACTAACGATGATCTCAGCCTTGCAAGGATAAACTGTGTGTAGCCTAAACGAAGGCCAGGGCTGTTGTGAAGAATAGCTAACGATGGCAAATAGGGAAGTATTTTTAAATGTTGGGAAATGTGCTGAGAACTATCTACTCTTAGTGTTTAAGATTATCCTAATGAAAGTTGTGAACACGCTAATAACTAGTTTAAACGTGTATTTTATTTTGTAGACTGGTAACCAGCACATATATCAGCCCGTGGGTAAACCAGGTAAGCAGTAAATTCCTATCTTGTCCCTTTGAGTCCTTGATTACAAGTCTTCTAGCCACAGTAGTGAACCCAAAGATTTATGCCAGTGTTTTCACGTGAGGGATAGATTCGGTCCCAGATGAAAATAACTGCACATAGGTGTTTCAGTGTACTCCATGTGGTCAAGTTTCCACTACAGTCACCAGGGATGTGGTCAGCAAAGCCTAGAAAGTGTCTCATCAGCAGCCAGGACGTGTCTAGAGGAAGCTGAGTCACGCCGTAGGACTCCGTGGAGCGTGGAGTTCAGACATGTAAAACACAGGTAGACACCGAAATTTGGGTTTCTCAATCTCCAACTGAATCACATCTAGGATTTCTGCCACGAAGCAGTCTAATTTTCCAGACATACAGAGCGTGTGCAGCACTCGGTTACTGCGGTACGAAGTGCCGAACACTTGGCAGGTCTGGGCTGGTGGCAGTGAGGTGAGGAGCAGCGGCCCCACAAAGGCATTTGTGCAGCGCCTTACTGCAGTGGCCACGTCCTCCTAAGCGTAGGAGGACTTGCTGACTTTCACGGGCTTTTTTGTCTCTGTGTTTCTTGAGATGAAATACGGATAAGAGCGTAGTTCATCCGGATGAATTTTTCCTAGGACACGTGACTGACTGCATTAAGCTCTACGTCTCCTCTGCCAGTGCAATAAAGCACCTTTCTAGCCATGACAGTCCAGCGTGACGCAGGTACGGCTGATACCTTGGTCCTCTAAAACGCAGATTGTTTTGTTAACCAGATCATGCAGCTCCGCCAAAGAAACCTCCCCGTCCTGGAGCCCCCAGCCACCTGGGCAGCCTCGCGAGCCTCAACAGCCCCGTGGACAGCTACAACGAAGGGGTGAAGGTACATTGCTCGATGTCACTGAAATGCTTTTCAGGAAATTACCCGTTACTCCTCGGCGATTAACTTCTCCTGAAGGAGAGACTGCAGAAAGCAAAAGCAGCTAAACTTCCCAACTAAATATGTTGTCATGGGACATACATACCCCGGCCCTCAGCTGCAGATAAGTGAGACGTGTCCAAACTGTGACGCTCCAGCGAGCTCCAGCTGCAGGGTCAAGGCCCCGAAAACCCTGCTGGCTCTGGGGAGTGAGGGAAGAGGGGGAAATGGTGTGGTCGGCCTGTGTAGGTGCTATGATGAGAAATACTTTCTAATTTGTTGTTTTGTCTCCAGTAAAGAGGCAGTAACACCAAAAATGAACTTTTTTGGAGCTCTCTAGCAGAGAAGTGCTGCAGGGTGTTATCGAATGCGTTGTGCCTGGTCTCCCCGTTGCAGCGGTTGGTGTAGATGAAACAGTTCCTTCACATGTCGATCACCTCCAAAAAGTGTCTCTAGGCTTTATTCTGTGCCTTTGGGACTCTGCCTTCCTCCTGATGGTCACCTGAGTGACCTCGGTGCCTCGTGGGGGCAAGGAGCGGAGCTATTTCTGATGGCAGCGGTTTCCAGCAGCGAGATACAGCGCTGGCTGGGCATTCGCTGGCAGTAACAACCTACCAGCGAAATGCAGCTCGTGTGTACATGTAGCAGTTTCATTACTTTACAACCTTTGCTGCTGGAAAAATACCCCCCAACGCACACCCAGACTTTTGAGCTGACTGCAGTATCAGTGACCCGAGCGCTAAGGCCACATCACTCGGGCTGCTGCTCCTGTTTCCTCCGCTGACGCCAACAGTAGCGCTCGAAGTGGTTTGGTTGTGCGAGGGGCAAGATGGGGTCAGCAGTAGAGCACAGGCTCCTGCAAAGACGCACATCAGCAATCCCTGCTGCAGTAGATGTTAGTTTTCACAAAAAGACAACCTCCCGCTAGTCTGAGCCTTGCCAAGTCCATACTAAAGAGCTGGATCCCATGTCTGGGTAGGCCACAGATAACTGCTGGACGTGACACTTATTTTAGGGGGTTTAAGAAAGTGCAGGAAAAAATCCAGTTCATCAGCTCGTGAAGTTCAAAACTAGCCATCAAAGCGGTATGTGGAGCAGAAACTTGATCTTTCAGCCGCTGCCTCTGTCTCACTCTCCTGAGATTATCTGAATGTTTGAGAATCAGCGTAAATAGACAGCGGTGGCGAGTTTGAGCAAGATTATTTATTACAAAGCGGTGCCAGAGCTTTTCAAGCTGCCAAGCCTCCGAAAGTGTAAAAAAAGCAGTAACAGATGCGTTACTAAACCTGGCTTCTCTAGCCAAAACTTCCTTTATAAAGAGTGATATTTGACGAACACGAAAGCCGTTTTCTGAAAAACGTCCTTTTGACACCAAACTAACCTGTACAGCCAAAGTCACCGGTAATAACAGCTGAACAAGATTCACTTGCTAAATGGCTTCTTCATTAGAAAGAGAGGGGCTGGTTTTGTTCTGTTTTGGTTTTTTTTCTTTGAAGAGTTTCTTGAAATTGCATTGTTTTATGTCCTTCAGGAAAACACGGTCCATTATTTGGTAACAGAATATGGCTTTGTAATGCCTGCAGTCGTAAGCTGAAGACGTTTCTGGGATTTCCTTTTCTGTAGTGCCAGAATACAAATTAAAATAAGAGGATTTGAGCCGTTTAACCCCTGTAAAGCCCTATGCACCGAGATACACCTATTGTATAACAGTATACTCGTACTTGCTGAGGCAATGTCAGCCTACCCATGCAAGGAGAAGCCTGACCGTACAGTTTGCAGAGCCTTAGGGTTGATGTTGGCTATAAAAACGGCCAAAAAAAAAAAATTAAGAAATAGAGATATCCTTACTCTGGAAGTGTTAGGACCTACCCGTAGGACTGAAGTGGGTTGGGTATAATCCCTCTGCAATGGGCTCTTAGTAGCACTTCACCACCACCGTGACCAGTCATCATGAGCAGTAGCTGCACGGTTAGATGACTTCCTGTTTCCTATCACAGCAAAAAACCAAAAAGATTGCGCAGGATTAAGGCAACGTTTTCTTGATCTGTTGGATAATGGATAGTTTGTGGAAAGGGTTTCACAGGCCGCAGTTTCCCCCTGTTGCAAAGGCCCTCTGCTCCATTCGCCACTTTGCTACTTGCCTGACCGGCTCGTTCCTGTCAAGCTTTGCATGATCTCTGCCCTACGTACTTGGTGAGACGAAAGCATGGGCGCATGGCAAACCCTCGGGCTCTGCGGGCACGCAGCAGGTTGTCGGCGCGTTGCGCTTCCGTAACAAGTGGGCCACGAGCTAACAAACACGACTGCCGGTACTGTTGAGGGGGGCGGGCGTTTTTGCTGCAGGCTTTTTAACTGGTCTCTTGTTGCTACACATGGTTTGGTTTGGTTTGGTTGGTTTGTTTTTTTTTTTTTCTCTCTCCTCCTGCTGAGTTTTATTAATATTGTTTTTCTTTTTTCCCTTCTTTTGGTAAATTTCTTTAACCTCCCCCCACGTTCTGCTCAACCATAGCCGTGGAGGGTAAGCAGTGCGCGGGTGCGCGTGTCCGTGCCCTATGCCAAACTGTCTTTGCATGCGACTTTGTGGGGCGGCTCTAACTCCTCGATCACGGAAACCAATGGGAATCGCATCCTTTCACTACTGATTGAGGCAATTGTAATGTTCATTTGCCTAAGGCATTTGCTGATCAAAGCGCGCTAGATGATCGAAATTGTGTTAAGCGTTGTCAGTACCCGCTTGGTGGGATGCAGCAAAATGGAATCACCACGCACAAAATCCTGCGCTCCTTCCTTAGGCAAAGTTTCATCCAAGCATTTTATACTCTCACCAGGTTAGTATCTCAGGTGCTTCCTAGAAACTTTCAGGAGGGATATCCTGTAAGATGCTGGAATTAACGCTGGTTTGCCGCTTCGTATGTAAGTGGGTGTTTGCAGGATGTAGTGAGGGAAACTCAAGAGAAATCAGGTTTTTAATTTTCTTCTTCCCGTGGCTTGGACTATAGTAGACTCCCGCTTTTGAAGAGAAACGACACAGCCCCAATCCTTTCTTTTCTTCAGACTGGAGCCTCGTGCTTCCCGTGAAATGTCCCTGTAGCTAGGGCCAGTAGTAACAGCCTGTAGCAACCCGGTTTGGTGGTCTGCAGCGCTGTGAGCTGATGTCGGTCCAACAGGCTGGAGCGCAGCTGCGTGACCAGCTGGAAGGAGGCAGTTTGTTCACCACCTTCTCCCGTTGAGTAGTTGCTTGGACCAGTAGCCCTGAAGAGCTGCAAGGTCCTGGGAGGCTTGGAGTTTCACAGCTCAAGAGCAGAGCTACTGAGGATTTTACAGAGGAAATGAGTTGTTTCTTTTCTGACCAGGGTAATTTCAGTCTGCCTTGGATTTAACTTTAGGCAGCGCCAACTTGATGGAAGTTTTGCTTGAGTAAGGACTACAGGATTTTTAGCCTATTGGCTTTGTTCTGATCTGTTGGAAACAAAGTGTATGAAAATGTTCAGTGTTTCCCACCTGTACTGGTGACACCATTTTTATTAATTTGCCGTGCGCGTTCACTAACAAAACGCTTGAGAACGTATGCTGCAATATTCTCTCTTTCCTATATCCGTGTGTTAAGTGTGTCCCCGGCATGGTTTTAGAGCACAAAACAACTTTCTGGCTCGAGGGACCGGATAGCCCCCTTGTCTTAGCAATGACACTTGTCCATCAGTAGTGAACCACTTCAGACATAGATTTGTGTTGCAAGTACTCTGCTCCTCGTTCCACAAATTATTTGCGTCTGTATGGTGAGAGTTGCACTGGAAGCTCTTCAGAGATTTCCTGGTGGGAAGTTCTTCAGTGTTGTCTCACAGGCGAGGCTCAGTCGGAAGAACAGAAGGGAATTTCCTTCCGATGTGAGAGCGGGTGCTGGCGGCCGGGACGGGGGCCCAGCGGGTGGGAGGGCTGTGCACAACCCGAGGCTTTCCCGGCGCTCTGGCGAGGTTGGGAAGTTGCTGAGCCCCATCTGCTGGGGACGCGAGATTGAACAACCTCTCTCTGCTTCCAGATCCAGCCGCAGGAGATCAGCCCTCCTCCTACCGCCAACCTGGACCGCTCCAACGACAGAGTCTACGAGAATGTGACTGGGCTGGTGAAAGCTGTCATAGAAATGTCCAGTAAAATACAGCCAGCTCCGCCGGAGGAGTACGTGCCCATGGTGAAGGTAAGAAGGCATTTTCTACAACCAGCGTTTGTTTTCTCTCCTGGATGCTGCTGCTCTTACCTACATGCTGTAGGAGAAGCTTCCTGGAAAGCTGGAAGCAGAAAAGCTTTGCGTGTTTGTGCGGGGTAACTCATGGTCAGAGCGCTGGAGCTTTGGATACTGTTGCAGCACTGCAGACATTGGTGCTTCTCCCCAGCTTGCCTGTGCGTATCCGGGAGGTGGGGGAGTTGTGTACTAACTTCCCTGCATTTAAATTAAAAAAAAAATTGTTCTTTAATTAATTCGTTGACATCTTGTTTTGACGGCATGAAACAAGGAATTACAAGTGGGGTTTTCAAAAGCCACTGAGCCGTATTGTTCTAACTCTGTTCTTACTGAGATGAAGCGCAAGAGTACCTGCTGCTTCCTTCGCTCCTGCTGTAAGACTTTGCTTTCCGTTCCAGGTTTCTGAAGTTTAATAGACGTTTGCTTACGTGGTCTAGAGTAATTCCTGCATGTAGCTGATGAACTTAAACCAAACAACATGTTCCTGAGAGGGGGAGTTGAATCACAAAGCGGTGATGTGCCGTTGCGCTATCCATCCTTTGTCAAATTTGTTATTTCCTTTTTTTTTTTTTTTTCCTTAGGAGGTTGGCTTGGCGCTAAGAACTTTACTGGCAACGGTAGATGAGACCCTGCCAGTGCTTCCTGCGAGCACTCACCGAGAGGTACGTAGAGCTCCACTCACGGAAAGCTCACACGTTAAGTTTCAAGGTGTCCTCAGGCAGGACAACTGTCTGGGTGGGTTTTGGCTTTCCTAAAATGGCAGGACTAGTTTTTTTTGACCTCTTTGCATTGCACATGTTAGATTCACTAAGCACTGTGAACTCTCAGTTAAGCGCCTTCACTAAATTAATTTTAGTGGAATTGAATTGCTATATGGACATACGCTTGTATTGCCCGAAGCGAGGCCACTTGAGCTGGCTGTAATTGAAAAGCACACAACACGAGCGTACGCGGAGTTAAAGAAAAATGGTTATCAGTGCTTGTATGGAAATCAGTAGTCTAATTCAGGGAGACCATCTGGGAATTAATTCTCACTGCAAGTTTAATCTTTCATTAAACTACAGCTTGCACACAAAGTCATTACACACTTAATTGAGCGTAGCTCAGTGTAGCTGGAAGCATTTGCTGAGAGACTATCCTTCAGTAACCTAGTTCTAAAGGAGAATTGACTGAGATGCTTCAGTGAAGTTCACATGAGTCAGGAATAAACATTTTCCCTCTAAACCCTGAATGAGTGGGATAATGAGAAGGCTTGAGAATGATACTTTAAATATGCGCTTAGAGAATCATCCCAACTTAGCTGATGCGGGTCTGCTAAGCAATCTGTATCTTGCTTCTTGGCCTGTTTTATTTTTGCTGCTTTAGAGCTATTAAAAAAAAGAGGAGGACGGAGCATGATGATAATAGGGACCTGGAAACCTAGAACAAAGCGTTAACTTTTGGAGCCAGGCTAAATCCAGTGCTAGTGAGCAGGGCCTCACCGCTGTTAACAGCGGGTGGCTGATCAGCAGCTCAGAAGACTGCTCTTGATCTCCATGCAGCTTGTAATTGGGACAGAGCAGCAAGTACAGATATTTCATCTGCTCCGTGTAGTCTCCAGAGAAACTGCTGCAGCTTCAATCCGGAGCAGAGGCTGTCCAGGTTTCGGTGAGAGGTGATGCTCGCGCTCAGGAGGGTAGATAGTGCCGCTGCTCCGGCGGCGCTGCTGCTGGGGGCGCAGCACTCCTCCCAACGGTCTGCCCGGCTGACTGCATCTTGCTTTTCCAGATCGAGATGGCCCAGAAGCTGCTGAACTCGGACTTGGCTGAACTCATCAACAAGATGAAGCTGGCACAGAATACAAAAAGCAAATGCTCACGGCTGCTCACGCTCTGGCTGTGGATGCCAAGAACTTGCTGGATGTTATCGATCAAGCCAGACTGAAAATGATCGGTCAGTCCAGACCGCATTAAATCCCGAGGGAAGCGTTTCATCGTTCTGTTAGAGAGTTCTGCTTGCGAAAGGATGTTACTTCACCTTCCACCAGCAGTGAGGATTAACCCAGTATAGTCCTGGCTTTCCAGCGACTCTTGCTTCAGCGGACCTGACTGACCGCTGTTGGTTCGCTCTCATTAGAAAAGTTTAACCCAGTTTTTATCCTAAAGCCAAGCTGGTCTGGGATTCAGAAAGTGGCATTATCACAGGATGAAGTCTGTACAGGTGTCCTTGGGAAAGCATGACTACGGAGCGCAAGTAAATTCCCCACCATCGCATAGGACGTGCTTAGGCTGAAGTCACCACGGGGTCACCGTCTCGGAGCCAGAAGGGCTCGAGCAGCAGCTCGGGGAAAGATATTGTGAAGTGAAGAATTCTGGGAAACCTCAGGGCTGAGAATTCTTGCCCACAGTATATGAACTTATCCAGACTGGAATTTTTTTATTAGAACACTTACGTCGCAATATGCTAATCACAATTTACAGAGAAAGAAAATAAAAAGCTATATTTTCAAGACTTCGGTCATTTCAAGACAAACTAAAGCCCTCTTCATTTTCCTGCTTTTTACTTTTATGTGGATGTGTGGAGCATTCGTTTGGAAGATAGCTGTAGAACACAACCGAAAACTCTCGTCTCTTTCACCAGAATAACGTGCCAGTTGTTTTTTTGTAGCAATGTTATTTTCCTTGGAAGCAAAAAAAAATGCTGCTTTGTACCAGAGCAATTCAGAGCCGCATTTAGAGGAGTTCTGTAACCATTCATGTTCCCCATTTTTATATAATTTATAAAGAAAGATTAAAGCCATGTTGACTATTTTAAACCCACTGTAGTTAACTAACCCATCTTTTTTGTCTATCTTGCCTGGGAGGAGTTACAGTAGAGCAGTGTAATTAGATTTTTCCTTGGTTTCTCCAGTTATACCATCTGTTCTGTTAAAATAAAAACCACATGCCCTTTTTGCTGTTGAGGGATATAAATTATTCTCAGGAAGAATATAATGAACTGTACAGTTACTTTGACCTATTAAAAAGGTGTTACCAGTGAAATTCTGGCTATAATATATATTTTGTGTGTGTGTGTGTGTGTGTGCGCACTACAGAAAATATCACTGAGTTTTGTCTGCTGTGTTTTATCCCCCTACCAATCCCCCAGACTTTGAAAAATCCACTGAAACACAGGCTTAAAAAGGACCAGCGAGCATCCAAGGAAGACAGCCAAGGTTTACGTTATCTTCTGAAAGAGCATAGCTTTTCTGCAAATACAAAACATGGGAACAGGTTGACAAATGGCACTTGGGGCCAAAGTAGCTTGTTTGCAATCTACTTGCTGTCACTTGTTACGCTCCTTTAGACGTCTAATATCAATTTTCCTAGCGGAAGCTTAAAAAAAGGGGTGGGCAGGGAGGAGGCAGGCTGTAGCACAAGGTCTGAATAAGGTATTTGAGCAGCTCAGGAAGCTCGCTGCAGCAGGGGGCTGCAAGGATATCCAACAACTGCCACCACCCTAGGGCCACCTGCCGGTACAGCCCTTGCACTCAAGGCAGCCATCCCCACCGCCCAGAAAAACAAACAGAATCCAGTTAAGGGCAGAAGAAGGAGCACTGCAAAGTGCTAGCATATTTTTTTTGTTGTTCTAGACTAAGCCTACATAATTTTGGAGCTCTTCCTCTTGCAAAATTAGAATGTCTTACTGAGATATTGACAAACTTAATATATATATTTAAGACAGACACTGCCCCCCACCCCCAAAACCTTGCTCAGTTGCTCTGGAGAAGCCCTATTCAGGAGTTTAACAACATGGACTTTTTACCCTGTTCATAAGCAAAGTTACACAATCTTCCATACCCACCCACCACAGCAGAGATGCTCCTCAACTTTTGTTCCTCTTAAAAAAAAAAAAGTTAGGCACTTTTAAGTACTTTATACAGCCTAGTCTTCGCTGCAGGCCAGGAACTTGAAGCAGTCCCAGACTTTGTTAGCTTTTAAATCACATGTAACCATGAATAAATAATAATACACTGTATCCCTTGACCAGGGCCTTCAGACCAGAATTACAGCATTTTCCCAAGCCTTAACCTCAACTGCCTTACAGTGTAAAGCGCATTTAATCGCTGCCCTTTTAACTGCTCCCAAACAGGTTAAATTACCTGCTGCTAGAAATGCCCTAAATGGAAGCTGCAGTGTTGCTAACGCTCACGAGGTGCTGCAGCAAAAGCTGTTCCTGGCTGCAGTACAGACTAAGTAGCAGCACCTTCTGTTAAACCTGACCACAGCCCATGCTCACTGCAGTTACACTCCTTCCTTTGTTTGTAAACCATGAAGGCAAGTGAGAGAGCTCTAACTACCACAGGCAGAGCACACTGACAGTGACAGTGTTCTGTGCCACCACCTGTCAAGAAGAGCTGTAGAGCTCTGAACTGACGGGCACTATGAAAGCAGCTTTGGTAGCTACAGGTAACATGCCAGTCCTCCATCCACTGCCCTTCACGTGCATCACCTTTATAAAAAAGAAAAGTACGCTTAAGCCTTCTTTATTACAGACATGTACAAAACTAATTAGTCAAAAAGACCAAAGCCCATGTCGTCATCAGATTCCTCTGATTCTTCTTTCTTTTCTTCTTCTTTCTTCTCCTCAGCTAGAAAAGAAGAAAAGAGTCAGGATTTTTTCATTTTGTCAGGTCACAGAAATCACAATTGAATATCAACTCCTACAGAGGACTTTATACCTAAAGACCATAACATCAAGAAGCAAAGCCTGTACAATCCTAAGGAGCTAACCTAATGACTCACGGAGACTTCTGTTTGTTTCTTATAAGCAGGACACAAGTGTAGTTAAAATCATTTTTTTCCAACTTCCTGTCAAATCTGAAAAGCTTTACAAAAGCAGGTGGGCTCTCTCTAGCCGTCATACCAAGGGCCTGATATGTACAGGAAGTTCAGACTTAATTCAGAGGTAACACTAGCCCTGAACACTGACTGAATGTGCAATTCCAGCCTTTCTAAAGTTGAAGGCCAGCTTTGCTCTTGAACACGCACTTGCATACGAAGAAACATAAACCACAAAGACGACATGCAGGGGGAGAGCCCGTTAACAAGCCGTTTGCTATCGGCTTGCATTAAGTATTTCTTCCAAGTAAACATCGCTGCCTTGGACACCGGAGCCCACTTACCAGGGGCAGCACCGCCTGCAGGAGCAGTACCACCAGCAGGAGCAGCTGCAGCTGGAGCACCACCACCAGCTCCTACGTTACAGATCAGGCTGCCGATGTCGATGTTAGCTAGAGCCTAGGAAGAACAAACATGGAGAAAGCCTCACTAATCCAGGCCGTGCGAGGCAGGTGTATGTCAAGCCTGCACCCTTTGTACAAATCACGCTGTCAATTCGGTGATGAAACCGCAATAGTAAGAGCGAGCAGCCTGCTCTACTCTCACTACCGGTGTCACCGTCGTGCAGCCCTTTCCGCCTGTGCTACAGGAAGCACTTTATGCAGTTGCAGGCGGCTGACGGCTACAGCGCCAGCATCGGGGAGTCACTGGGGGGCGGCGCTCTGCCGCCAGCGCCCCGGGCCACCCCCAACGGGAGGGGGGCGGCGGCGCGGGGTCCCGGG